GCCTTTGTTCGATGAGGGTGGTGGTGTTCTTCCTGTTCGGCCATCGGTTAATAAATTTATTTTATTTATATTCAATATAGAACGTTCACCACCACCCTTAAACTAAAACTTATTGACCTTTGACAATTGTTCTTTTGCAGAGACGATAGACTCTATTGCTATTAATGATAGATGGAACGCGTATGAGTTTTTTACCCTTTCTAATTGTGCTAGCCACAATCACCAACCATACAGACACAAGGCTTTCGACAACAGTGTTCGATAGTGTTATCCTTCTAGTGTCGGGGTTATGTATCAGAAAAAAAAGAAGTAGAAGAAGAACAAGAAGAAAACGAAGAAGAAGAAAAGAAGAAGAACAACAGACCTATCTAAAAGATAGGTTACATCGTTGGCCGAAGGAGTAGAGAGAGAGAGAGAGAGAGAGAGAGAGATGGATAGACAAGCAACTATCGATAAATGGAATAAACATCATACATTGAGTTGCGTATAACCATCGTTTACATCTTACACAGCATCAGTAATAATAGGAATGATTCGCAAAATGCAAGAAGGTTACCCACTGTTTGTACGACCAATGCATGTAATCTATGATAGTCAATCGTTGTGTCTACATATGTACTTTATTTGTTCATAAAGTCATCAATCAAAGAATATTTTTATTTGTAAAAAAAAAAAATTCTCATCGTAACAAAAGTAAAATAATCATACATACGCACACATACACACACATATATATATATAGAAATACAGGTAAAACATATAGACAATCAGGAGAAATTATAGCATTTATTCAAAAATTAAAACCAACAAACAAGGACATTATGATCGATTAAATACAAAAAAAAAACGAAATGCATACACCGGTTAGAAGACTTGCGTCTGTGTGTGTATTACTTTAACTAATCGAATTAAGATTGTTCAGATTGAACAAGTAAATGTGTTGTTTCAGCTGCTTCGAGAATCTATAATTAAAAATAGAAATATTTTAAAATCATTATTTTCTATTTATGAATAAATATAATTTACTTGTCGAATAGTTATATTTGCATCTTGTTTAGCTTTATTTAATAAATCTGTTTGACCATTTAATAAAGCAAGATTATATGAAAAATTATCAATTGCTTTTGTAAATTTTTTTCCACGTAAACCATTTGATTCAAGTAATTTTGGAATGTCTTTACTCATTTCACATACTTCAGTTTGAACATTAAATAACTATAAATCAATAGAAATTTATTTAATAATAAACATAATTTTTTTTTTTACTTTTTTATGTATCACACTACCATTATCAATTAAAGCACGACATCGATTAGTGACCTTGAATGAAATTTTTATTGAACTTTTTTTTTTTTTCTTTTATATATAACATACTTCTTCTAAAGCAACGACACTTTGCCGAGATAATTCTGGTAATGTTGTAGAATATTCGAAAATAGGTACCTTGAAAAAACAAAAAGACACAAATGTGAAAATCTGTTAATGTCACTTCTAAAGAAGAGAACGCAAACTATTTCCTAATTATCCCTTCTTATATACTAATAAAAGAGAGTTTCTGTTTCTTGTGTTTCAGTTACAATCATTAATAAGAAGAACGATAGAAAATAATGCATATTTATCCATAATCAAGGTTTTTCTTTGATTCTTATCTTAGCTATTTGACGAGAAAGTATTTCATACAAATATTATATTGAAAAATAGATTTTCTTTTTGTTTGTAACTTACACCCGATTGATTTCGAATAGTAACAGCACCGACAAGATTTGCTTTTTGTAATCGACTAGCAATTTTTCTTACACATTGTTTTACATTTGATATATCAGGTAAACCACACATTTCATTTAATTCACATAGACTTTGTTCAACAGCATGTCGATATTCAAATGCAGTTTCTAATGGTTGAATAACTGACTATAGATTATTAAAAAAGAACAAAAAAAATGAAATTTTTCTCTAATAAAATATTTGTTGTTTTCGTTTACTTTAAATAGATCATCGATTTGTCGATGATTGACTGGTCGAAATGCAGCAACGCGTAATTTACGACGTAATAAAGAACGACGATAACGAGATAATGATCGACGGGGTTTCTATTTTAGTATGAAAGATAATATAAATAATATTTAAAAACAAAAAAAAAACAGAATACATACAACAGCTAATGATTTGCTATTGACAACAATGTGCACAAATAGATAAGCATTAGCAATGATATCACCACCGATAGTATATAGATGAACATGTCTATAGCCTATGAATAAAAATTTAGTTCAAAAAAATTGTTTTTTTTTTATTTTAATCTATTTACCAGGTTGAATACAATCAAATGGTAATGTATATTGTCCGATAAAATCATAATCAAGTGATTCATCATCAAGTACAACAAATCTAACGAGTGCTAATTCAGGAAAAGCTATTTCAAATTCAAATGCTTCATTAAATTGTGGACTTTCCCCTAAACAAAATTTTTCATTAAATTAATTTGTTTATTACAAAAAAAAAAAAAAAAAAAAGAATTCATCACTTACAATTATGATAAACAGTTTTTGTTCGTACTTCATCACAATCTCTTGGTACACCAAATATTTGTACTACAACATAAGGATCAACAGAATTGGCTTTTAATTCTGCTTGTTCAGGTCTTGGAAGATGTAATGCACTAATAACCTGTTTTTTTTTCAAAGAAAAAGAAAAATAATTTGTTGTTATTGTTTTTTTTTGTCTAATACTTTAATATGAAGTATTTGAGGTGTATTTGATGAATAAAGATTTGTTGAAAGTCTTCCACTAACAATTGATGATGAAGCTGCACTAGCTGCAGCTGCATTATCATAACGTAAATATGTTGGTTTAAGTACATAACCACAACCACCATTACTTAGAAATCGACCAAAATATACATCCATAAATTTTCCTGCTGTTTGATAATTCATTGCAACTAAATAAATATATTTTTAAAATTAAATTCGATTTATTTTATTTTTTTTTTAAGTTGTTGTGTTCAAAAATCAATTTAGATTTATATTGAAATCAAAGATATAAGTAAGCCATCTCAAGCAAAAAATAAGCAATCAGCAAAATTACCTAATATATCTATTCATCATGTTTATCTCGAAAAGCCAAAAAAAAAAAATAATCATTGATATTTCTAAAGTTTTTCTTTTCATTGATATTAAATAAAAATAAATATCGATTTGTTTGGTTTTATTTTTATTTTTTTTCTTTTCTTTTGTTAATATTTAACTTACCCATTTGACAACCAACATTCCAAAAATCTTGTGGATTTAAATTTGATGAATCAACACGCCATGTACCAGGAGATATACGTGATAGAAAACGTTTATTATAATTAACAAATTGTTCAGCATCACTATTTGCTAAACGTAAACCAGCATTTTCACTAAATGTACATACTTGTCCTGATTGTTCTAGAATTTTTTTTTTGTGTATATGTGTGTGTGTGTTTTTTAAAGAATAACTTTTTTCTTACGTTCATTAAATGATGTATCAAAATCTTCAAATGGTGCTGAACGAAGTAAATAAACAAGATCAGAAAATACACGAGATAATTTTCGATGTTTTTTACTATTGATATCCTATAGAAAAAAAAAATGAAAACAATTTTTATTTTAAAATATTTGAATTATTTCTTTTTCTTTTTTTAAAACCTTTTTTGATCGTCTTCTATTATCTTCATAACAATCATCATCATCTGTTATTTCTCCATAATCTTTATTAATTTCATTTGAAATTAATAAAGGTAATTTTTTACCCTAAAAAATTATTTTATTTAAAATAAAATAAAGTAATAATTTTATATTTTACTTTAATAATAATTTTTCCACGTAAATCATTTGGTGATGGTAATGATCGATATTCATTTGATAAAATATTTGTATCTATTGGTAAAGAATCAAGAAATATTTTTTCACCAAATATTTCAATTAATAATTGAGATAAACGTTCTTGTTGATTAACACTACATTGTAATTCAATACATAATATTAATGGATAACTACATAAAAGAAAAATAATAAAAATGAAAAAATTTTTTTTTTGTTTTTTCTTAAATTAAGGTATTAACTAACCAAGATGTTTCAAATGCATAATTATTAATAGCTTCAAGTGCTTCATTTAAAGGTATACGAGATGTTAATGTTCCATTATGAATTAATGGTTGACCATCTGGTCCATCAAAACAATGAAGTTCCAAACAGCGACAACCACGCATTAATGCATGAATAAATCCATCTACACTAGATGGACCTTTTAATTGATCGGCCAAAAGAAATCTATGAATAGAACAATATTTACATTTCTCAAGGAATCTTTGAGCTCATTTTGCTTATATATGAAGAGGTGATTTATTATTTATCCACAAGGACACATCTAAAAATGATTAAGTCTTTTCTAATTATATAATATATGTAAATAGAAAGTCTACTGTCACTCTACTTAGATCTGCCTAGACTAACAAATAATATAATTCACAATCAGTATTCATCTTAATTTATTTTCATATTAACATGCTTTTTTTTTTCACTACACAAACTAAATTAATCTAAAATATATTCATACTTTATATCAAATAATAATAATAATAAATGTATATTTTCCAATGTTAAATTTTAACTGAAATAAAATCCAAAAAACACAACAAAAAAAAATTATTTAAAAATAAATTTTAAATTTAATTGAGTTAGTTTCAACATAAAACTTGCAATATAAATTAAATTTTTCTCGAATATATTTTCTTTATTGACTTATTTACAATTAATATAAATTTTCTTATAATAAACTTTGATTTATAAATTTCTTAAAGAAAATAAAATATTAATTAATTCATATTTACGTATTATGTGATGATGCAATAAAATAATGATTAAGTGGATGGTTCATTTCATGACATATAGTTCGATTATTTGGATTAAATATATCACATTCAGGTGACAATAGATAATTAGTAAAACCTTTAAATATATATATA